GGCGGGTTTCGGCCCCCAGCTCCCCCGCCTCGGCGGGCCCCCGGCGGGAGCGGGAGGGAGAGCGGGACGACCCGTCCCCGACGCCCACCAGCGTCAATTACCACTTCACCCGGCAGTGCAACTATAAGTGCGGCTTCTGCTTCCACACGGCCAAGACCTCCTTCGTGCTGCCCCTGGAGGAGGCCAAGAAGGGGCTGGCGATGCTCAAGGAGGCGGGTGAGTGCAGGGAGGGAGCGGGGGGATGCTCGGCGGCCGCGTCCCAGCAGGACCAAGTGGCGTCGGAGAAGTTATCCCTGTCGTTAGGCGGCCGCGGTCCCTCTTCACATCACTGCGGTCGGGCACCGACAGCGGTGGGAGGAGTGGGGAAATTTGCAGGCAGAGGTTCACAGCATCTTTCTTTGGGCCTTTCCTAGGAATGGAGAAAATAAATTTCTCGGGAGGAGAACCGTTTCTTCAGGACAGAGGTGAATTTGTAGGGCAACTGGTCCAGTTTTGCAAGCAGGAGTTGAAGCTACCAAGCGTCAGCATTGTCAGCAATGGCAGCCTGATTAGAGAACGGTGGTTCAAGAAGTACGGTAAGGAAAAAGCTGTGTGACACAGGAGCGCTGGTGGGGTTTAGGAGCTTCCTCGGGGCAGCTTCACCGAAAGGGGGGTTTCAGTGCAAGTGGGAAACGGTTTGTTAGTGGTTCGTCTACAGTAAACACAAACCAAACGTAAATACCAGTGAAATATTGTTAGTTATATGTTATGAAAGTAGGTCGTTGTACTATTGCCTCTTTGGTATAATAGTATAATAAAATAATAGCTTAGGCTGTCCCATAATGCTGGACACACACGCACACACACACAAAACAGATGATGTTTTGATGATGCCTCTGCTGTGGCTTTTGTGGTTTTGTGATGACTCCCCAGAACTCTACATGGCAGTTCGTGATAGACCACAAGGAAGTGAAAGCGGGCAGAGTCCCGACAGCTTTAAACTGAAGGACTGAATATTAATCAATTTTTAAAACTTGTTTTCAGGTGAATATTTAGACATTCTGGCAATTTCATGTGATAGTTTCGATGAGAATGTCAACGTTTTAATTGGCCGTGGTCAAGGAAAGAAGAACCATGTGGAAAATCTGCATAAACTGAGACAGTGGTGCCGAGAGTATGCTGTTGCTTTCAAAATAAATTCAGTGATCAACAGATTTAATGTTGAGGAAGATATGAATGAGCAGATCAAGGCACTTAACCCTGTGCGCTGGAAGGTAAGAAAGTGGTGTATACCATAGTTTTCCTGTTCAGGGAAAGGTCTGATGGAGTTCTGGAGTTGTCTGAACCTCTAATGACCTCAGTCAGATCTCCAGCTCCAGCTTGGGCTAGTGTTAGTGGACCACTTGTCAGTGCTACATGATAAATACTTCATCATACACAGATCTTTTTTCTTTATGGTATTAAAAGTAAGATAGAAGGTCTTTAACATTTGAAAATGTGTCATGGGGTCAAGAAAATAAGGAAAAGTTAGTGTACGATGATACATTAGGGTTAATACATCAGCAATATCTAAGTGTACATTAGACATTAATGTTCTGTTACAGAGCATTAGTGGTTAGTGTGAATATATGGTATTTTCTACTGGAAGTGTATTAAATACATTATGTTATCAGTTTGAAAAAGGTTAGAGATAATGTGACATAAATATGGGAGAACTTGTGAAATAATTTCATAGAGTCATAGAATCACAGAATGGTTTAGGTTGGAAGGGACTTGAAATATCATCTACTTTCAAACCCTCTGCCATGGATAGGGACATCTCCCACTAGACCAGGTTGCTCAAAGCCCCATCCAGCCTGGCCTTGAACACTTCCAGGGATGGGGCTTCCACAACTCCCCTAGGCAATTTAATTTCTCATTATTTGCTTCGTGGAAATTGTTGTATGTGCATGATTTCCCAGAAAAAAAAAAAAAAAAAGACCGTAAAATCTTCGTCCTACCAAAGGAGTGTAAGGAAAATATGACATACATTTTAATATTTTATCAAGCTTCCTGGCCTACTTTCTTACTGGGGTTACAGAGCATGTTGATGGCAAGGGCAACATTTTTCCCCCAAAGTCTGAATGTAATTGAGGACTTGGCCATTAGAAGGAGGCTGTTAAGTAGACACAATATTGTGTTTTGTTTCTGAAGAGTCTTCTCTATCTTTTCTGTGACCATCTGATGATTACGGGATTGGAACATCTCTCATATGAGGAAAGGCTGAGGGACTTGGGTCTCTTTAGTCTAGAGAAAAGACGACTGAGGGAGAATCTTATTAATGCTTATAAATACTTAAAGGGAGGATGCCAGGGGGATGGGAACGGTCTTTTTTCAGTGGTGCCCAGTGATAGGACGAGGGGTAACGGGCACAAGCTTGAACATAGGAAGTTCCATCTTAACATGAGGAGGAACTTCTTTACTTTGAGGGTAGTGGAGCACTGGCACAGGCTGCCCAGAGAGGTTGTGGAGTCTCCCACTCTGGAGACATTCAAAACCCGCCTGGATGCCGTCCTGTGTAGGTGACCCTGCTCTGGCGCGGGGGTTGGACTACATGATCTCCAGAGGTCCCTTCCAACCCTCACCATTCTGTGATTCTGTGATCTGAAACTAGTTAAACTTACAGTCACAAATCAGGTTAAAATCTTCAAAAATACAGATTGACTTGATAGTCTGCATTGTACACGTTATTGACTAGCATTTATAATACAGCCATACTATTTGAAGTTAAATCAAAAGTTAGTTTGAGCTTTTATTATCTGTGCCCTTATTAAGACCAGAGCAGTTAAGGTTTCTGTGGAAACCTGGTCAGGAACCATGACTGCATAATTACATTTAGAGCTATGTAATGTTAATTTGCTAAAAATAAATCTGTATGGTGCCCTTCACATAATATTCACTTATCACAATTTGTGTCAGCGTGGCTCCACTGACAGAAAAATTAAAGACTGCTACTGAGACAACTGAAGGTTTTTGTCATGGTGACAGTGTCTTATACTCAAGGCAAGTGAAAACATGTAATCTTAATCAGGTGTCTTTTGTCTTCAGGTATTCCAGTGTCTGCTCATTGAAGGGGAGAACACTGGTGAGGATGCCCTGAGAGAAGCAGAGAAATTTGTTATCAGCGATGAAGACTTCGAACAATTCCTGGATCGCCACAAAGATGTTGCCTGCTTGGTACCAGAATCTAATCAGAAGGTAAAATTAAAACTGTCCTTTTGTAACTTTATTTTGAAATAAAGTTGGAAAGGTGGAAAAAGAACTAGAAGCTTTCATGGCAATTAACACTTTCCTTATTAGTACTGGCTTAGAAGAGGTACAGAGCAACTTTGTCAGCAACTGGTTTTGTTATGGTGGAAGCCAAGGTTTTTAATTTTCTTTAAGGCTTTTTATTGAGCACAAAGTTTTTAACAGAAGAGTAAAAATTTGTTGATCCCTATCCCGTGGAAAGTGAGGGGAGTCTTCTCAGTGTCACTTGAGCCTCTGCTTAGTGAGATGGATGTATAAAGTATCAGCACAGAAACTGGAGAAACTGAGTTTTCCACAGCTGAGTGGTGAACCCTAAACAATAATTAAGCCCTTTAGAATTTAATAGCTCTTCCCTACCAGGGCACGAGACCCTGATAAGGTTGAATATTAGTGTAGGCACACTTTATACTGTAAGTATAGTTTCCTAATAGAGAGTCACCATGGTGTTACACTATGGCAGTGTCATTGACCTACATGAAGTAAGATATCATCCCAGTCAGCATTATATTGGGTATTGAGGAACAAGAACTAGTATTTTTGCCTGACACATCCTACTAGGTACTCCCTCCCATGATAAAATTGCATTTTTAACATTGTCTATCTGAACTCCTTTAGACTGCACATTCAGGCTCTTTATTTACAAGAAGACTCCTTGTGCTACCGCAAAGCCCAGCAGGTAACTTGATGAGCTGCCACCCAGCTTATGTTAGCTGCCGTAAAGTGCCTAAGGGTGGAGATCAGGATCTTTTGTAAGATGCTTACAGGCCCTGTACATGGCATGAGGAGAGTTAGAAGACTCACTGTTAAGAGATTTTATGAATTCAGTGAGGAGATACTAAGTTGAATCAAGTTCAGGAATTCCTTAAATCTCCCATCTTACCCTCCATTTCCTCTCCACAGATTAATACTCTCCATTTACCGTTTATTTTTTAATGTATAGAGAGCTCAAGTGAGCAGACTGGTTGCCTCTACTATGAAGACCCAGAAGCGCAGTCTAGTGTTTAAAGCATTTTGTGGGAGAGAGCACTCATCAGAGAAGGTGTTTAGATGAGAACCCATAACTGTTTCTACTTTTTTTTTCCATGTAAGAAGTCCTACAAAAAAAAGAGTAGACTTCCCGCAGTATGTTTGGTTCTAGAAGACTGTTTCTGATTTCTGTTAAACCTGTGTGAAAGATGGATACCAAATTGATACCAAATTGAAACCCATTTCCCATTCTACACAGCAGCAAGTACCAGCTACCCAGAGAATTTTAAGGAGGATCATGTAGGAGATGCCCAGTTAGCTGAGAAAACATATCTTATTTCAGCTGTTGGCCTACTTCTTGGTGCAGGCCTGAGAGCTTTTTGAGCTGGGAGATTACCTTTGAGCTGAAAGAATACCTTTGTCTGCATCTTAAATGGTCATGTTGTTTGTTTGGAAAATGACATGACCATTAAGGGTGGTGAGGCACTGGAACAGGTTGCCCAGAGAGGTTGTTGAGGCCCCATCCCTGGAGGTGTTCAAGGCCAGGCTGGACGTGGCCTTGGGCAACCTGGTCTAGTGGAAGGTGTCCCTGCCCATGGCAGGGAGGTTGGAACTCGATGATCTTCAAGGTCCTTTCTAACCTAAACCATTCTATGATCTATGATTCCAGTATGCAAAACAGTATAAGTTCTGCTGGTGTAGAAGTTAATAGAAAATGTGGATATTATTTAAAGCCCCTTTATCCAGTTGGGCACCCATATTTCAATTAGACACTTGAGTTGTCATATTCCAAGAATTACTGGTTTATTTATGCATTAAGTCATGCTAGTAATCCTGTAGTTTATTTTTACAAATTTGATCCAAGCTCACTGAAATAGTGGTAAGACACTACCTTATTCCAAAGATTTGGATCAGGCTTTGAATGAATAGTTTGTTTTGTCCTTGATTTTTCACAAGAATGGAATTTTTGTTTGGATATTAATTTATTTTTTTCTTTTAATGTATTACAGATGAGGGATTCATACCTCATTCTGGATGAATACGTAAGTCTTTCTTTGATACTTGGTATTTGTATACTAATATATGTAGGTATACAACAGTGATAACCAATTCTATTTACTGTGTGTTCTATAAAATAGTTTTACCATGTAGTACAAGGAATAAATGTAATTTTTCCCATCAAACATATTGGGAACTTCAGTTTAAGTATGACCTGAGGAGGAGTTGCCATCAGGTTGCATGCATGATCGTTGCATCATAAATCTTAAAGTGTAGATATGCATCTTTGCAGGATGTCTTTGTTGTTTTTCTTTAATTTAAAAATACAGAGCTTGTCCTGAAAGTTAAGTTTCAAAGAGCCTACTTAGTTTACATGTAACTGAAGGGCAAACATTTAATCTTCAGGAATTATGGTATAGCTTTCTTCCTGCTAAGTTGTGTCAGTGTGTCCAACCACGAGCTTCTGAGTCTTCTAAGGACGACAGGGAAACTGTACAGGCACTTACATAGGCTTTTATGGGATTGCCGTGCAACTTGTTTAATTCTGTAGAAAAATTAAGCTTTTACAAATTGATTTTCTAACATCTTACCTATTGATGTTCCAGATGCGTTTTCTAAACTGTAGAAAAGGACGGAAAGAGCCTTCCAAGTCTATCCTAGATGTTGGCGTAGAAGCAGCTATAAAATTCAGTGGATTTGATGAGAACATGTTCCTAAAAAGAGGAGGAAAGTATGTGTGGAGCAAAGCAGACATGAAACTGGACTGGTAACTCAATATACTGGGGTAGGGCAGGTGCATTATGTAAAGAAAATGGGTGTGCATATATGCACGTTTCTATATGTATCTATGTATCCAATGCTTTTAACTACACTTGGTATGTCATACAGATTCATGTTCGGTATAACTCTGTATTTGAATGTGTTAAATGTTTTTAGAATGTAGATTATGCTCTTATCTATTGTTTGGCTGAACATTACCGAACACCTTCAGAGCTTTCATATATATAGGTCTCTGAAATCGACTTTCTCATCTATTATAGGAAAGGCTCAAGGGCAAACTGTTAATATAATGTCACCCAGGAAACAGTTTTAAGATAATACATAAGTGTGCATGGCAGAAAACAAACCAAAACCCACCCCGATCTCTAATTCCTTATAAACAGCTGTAATGATGGATAAGTAGAAACTCTTATCAGGGAATGTATTCTGCCT